TAGACATCTTGCAGAGAGAGGCAGGCATTATTTAGCCCACCACAGGAGGCTATTCCAACAGTCCAGACAGGACTTCCCCGGTGGTCCAGCGGTTAACACCCTGTGCTTACAATGCTGGGGATACGGGTTTGATCCTTCGTTGGGGAACTAAGATCCCACATGCCGCCAGACAAGAGATAATGGTGGTTTGGATCAAAGCGGTAGCAGTGATGGTGGTGAGAAGTGGTGAAATTCTGAATATATTTTAAAGACTGATAGGATTCAAGATAGACTGGATTTGGGAAATGAAAAAATGAAAAGAATAAAAAATGACTTGTTAGGTGTAACTTTTTTCCTTTGAGGAATAAAAAGGGTGTTTATAAAGCCTTTCACTATGAGTCCTATCAGTCTCAGATCAAGAAGTGTTAAGGATCTAATATATCCCCAGAAATGCACTAAGTGCTAGAGACAAGAATGAGCTTGAACCCAGCCTATAAGCCAAGATATCTCAACAGGAAGCCATTTTGTGGACCACAGGATTCAATTCAACAAATATGTGACTGAATATCTATGACATTCTGGCTAATATGCATACTATAGAACAACACAAGTGTGTGCGTGGTGTGTACCATATAATACTTAAGAGATGTTTGAAAAGAGAGATGAATGGTGACTAGAGTATTAGGAAAGGGGTGAGATAAGACATGAATTCTGGAATAAAGAATGGCATCCAACCAGAAAAACTGCATAAATAAATGCTCAGAAATGGAAATTGACTTGGCAAGTGTGGATATCAGGGGCAGCAGGATCTCCACCCAAATAGCTTCAACAGCAAAGAAAAATGCATACTCCCAGGGGTGTGGGGTGTTGCCTACCACAAGCTTGAACCCTCTTTCAAGTATCACGGTTTACTACTGTTACATGGGCTTTTGCTCACACTGTGCACACTCTGAAATAGAAGCACAAAAATGACAATGTACCTCTCCAAAGCTGGTCAACAAATCTCCCAAAAATTTCTACAGATGATCACACAAGCCACTTTAAAAAGGAGCCAACTGGATCTGTCATATATTATCCAAAAAAGGGAGAAAATATGTTGAGCAAGGACTTTAGGTTTCTTACACCATCAAAGAAAGGAAAAAACTCAAGAATATTCTCCAATTACGCATTTTATTCTAGTGGTTCTCAACCCCGATTATAGGCAAGAGTCACTTGAGGTGAACACACCAACGCCCAGATGCCTACTACAAACCAATGAAATAAAAATTGTCTAGGAGTAGAGCACAGCATTCTTTTTTTTTTTTTAATTTATTTTTTGCTGTGTTCGGTCTTCATTGCTATGCGAGGGTTTTCTCTAGTTGTGGCAAGCGGGTGCTACTCTTTGTGGCAGTGCACGGGCTTCTCATTGTGGTGGCTTCTCTTGTTGTGGAGCATGGGCTCTAGGCGCACAGGCTTCAGTAGTTGCAGCACACGGGCTCAGCAGTTGCGGCACACAGGCCCTAGAGCGTGCGGGCTTCAGCAGTTGCGGTGCACGGGCTCAGTAGTTGTGGCCCGTGGGCTCTAGAGCATAGGCTCAGTGGTTGTGGCGCACGGGTTTAGTTGCTCCTCAGCATGTGGGATCTTCCCGGACCAAGGACTGAACCTGTGTCCCCTGCATTGGCAGATTCTGAACCACTGTGCCACCAGGGAAGTCCCACATCATTCTTATTTTTAAAACATCTCCATGTTGGGAATTCCCTGGTGGTCCAGTGGTTAGGACTCCGCACTTCCAATGACGGGGGCCCAGGTTGCATCCCTAGCTGGGAACTAAGATCCTGCAAGCTACGCAGCATGGCCAAAGAAAAAAGAGATCCCCATGTGAATATAATGTACAGCCAGGATTAATAACTACTACTTTACTGAAATGTTGGGCATTTCACTGTTCCAGATTCCTCTTTGGCAACTTCTGTGGCTCCCAATCCTGGCTTTTGTAACCTGAGTGATATTACAAATATTCAATAACTGGTACAACATTAAACAGAAAGTAGACTGACTACAGCACTGGAACTGAGTCAAGGCTCCCTGCTGGAGCAGTGGAGGAGACCCCCAGGGAAGAGAAAACATGCAGGTAGGAGCTATTGCACAAGTCCAGCAGTATTTCACTACTTTAGCAACTGGCACATGCTGGCTCAATACCTGCCCTTTCTCCAACTGTCTCAAAGGGTATGACAAAATTATCAAAATAAATCTGCATGTTCTTGATTTATTGAAAGAAACAGAAATATATGATGGATGGCCCTTTAAACAACATAAAGGTCAGTGCTCTATAATCAAGTATCAAAGATACACTGGAGGGGGTCAGTAATTCCATAAAGTTTGGGAATTGTTTTCTAAAATCAAAAATAGTATAATCTACAGGGAACTATATTCAATATCCTGTGATAAACCATAACGGAAAAGAATATGAAAAAGAATGTATATGTAGGTATAACTGAATTACTTCGCTGTACAGCGAAATTAACACATTGTAAATCAACTATACTTCAATAAAATAAACTTTTTAAAAATAGTATAATTTATGTATCCCCTCACTGGGTCTTTTTCACAGTTCTGTAATACCCTGAATTCACTTGAAAAGTGATTTCTTAATTTCTCAAAGGGCAATTCTCTACATGTCAAGAAAACTGATACACACAGGCAAGGCTGTATCTGATGCCATGTGAGCTTGATTTTCCTGCTGAGTATGCAGCAA